CTCTTGGAGGCTTTGAGGAGATTAAGAGAATACATGAAAAGGGTTTACTGTGGTGTCTGGCGTACAGTAGGTACAGTAGGTACTTATTATTAAAAAGGCACGGCTGCTTGCTCATGAGGTGCTACAGTCTAGGTAAGAGATGTACTAAAACCAACATAGTTCTCAGGTATTCAGATTCTAGGTGTTAAGTCAGGATTCAGAGAAGGGAAAGATCAAAGTGGGCTTCCCACAAGGAGAAGCCTTTGTGGAAGAAGTGGGGATTGATCTGGGCATGGAAAATTGGGTAGAATTTGGACTGTTAAGGAGAAAGATAGAATGTGCCTAGTGGAACAGCATAAGCAAAAGCTCAGAGGCAGGAAGGAATTGACAAGATGGGAAGAGGAAGGAGTCTATGACAGATACCAGCTTGGGAACTTGTTGGAAACAAAGCTAATAAAGTCTTGGAGGGCCTCAGATAACAGGTTAAGGAGTTAAACTTGTAAGCTGTAAAGAGTTACTAATTTTTTTAAGATTTGTTTTTTTATTTTCATTATAACTTATTTTGGTAAGCTTGAAATACAAACATTTTAATATATGTATGTAAGATATAAATGTATATTTTGTATAAAAAAATAAAAAGAAAATATAAAATAGTTTTAAGAATTAAAAAGAACATTACAGGGAATTCCCTGGGGTTCCAGAGGTTAGGACTCCATGCTCTCACTGCCAAGGGCCCGGGTTCAATCCCTGGTCAGGGAACTAAGATCCCACATGCCACGTGGTGTGGCCAGAAAAAGAATAGATTAAGGGAAAAAAAGAACTTTACAGTTATCCATAATCCCACTGCCCAGTAGTAATTATTTTGATTTACCTTTTTTCAGTCTTTTTTTTTTTGGCTGCACCTCGCAGCATGTGGGATCTTAGTTCCCTGACCAGAGATCAAACCCGTGCCCACTGCATTGGGAGTGCAAGTCTTAACCACTGGATCACCAGGGAAGTCCCTGTGCATATATATTTTTATAAAATTGGGATCATTGCATAATGTTTTCTTCATTGAATGTTAGGTAGTAAGCATTTCTCACATCATTAAATAATCTAAGAAATCAACGTTTTTATTATTATATCATAATCCATCGTGCAAGTGTGTCCCAGTTTATTTTATCAGAACCCCTTAGTGGGCATGAAAGTTGTTTCTGATTTTTTGCTATTTTAAGTAACACTGTGATAAACACCATTGGACATAAACTCATAATCATTTCTGCGTAGAATTAAGAATAATTTTTTTAGAAACAATTACTATTCCAAAGAACATTAACTTTTGAAAGGTTTGCTAATAGAATTGAGCAGCTGAACATGACATTTTGAAAGTTTTAAGTAGATTAAGCAAGTAGTAGTAGCAGTAGAAATTCATAGCTGCTTCTCAGTTTCCCAGTTTCCGCTGCTTTTGAGCTCTTTAGTCTTTAACCTTGATCCTTGTGATGGATGTCTGTTTAGGACCGGATCTCTGCCCTCGTGGTTTGTTTCATGTGACCATCAACCATCCACCCTGTTGTCCAGTGATACACATTCCACCCTGACCCTCAGCTTGTCTCATTTCCCCTGTCACAGTTGCCTGTGTCCCTGGAGAGCTACACAGCGCCTCCTGAAGACAACCTGGCCCTCCTTCAGCTCTACTTCCGGGCTCTGGTTACTGGTGCGCTCCAATCACACTGGTGCCCTGTGCTCTATGCTGTGGCCGTGGCTCATGTCAACAGCTTCATCTTCTGCCAGGACCCAAAGAGCTTGGTAAGTTACGTCCCCATCTCCAGAGGGAGGGAAGGAACCTGCAGTTGAACTGAGCCAGCTGGGGAGGAGGTGAGGTCCAGGCCAGGTGAGTGATAGGCCTGTGGCCTGGTGCCACCTCTCCCTCTTCTGCCTCTAGGATGAGGTAAAGGCTGCCCGCAGGAGCATGTTGCAGAAAACTTGGCTGCTGGCAGATGAGGTAGGGCAGGGCACATCTTGGAGGGTGGGAGAATGGAGGGTCTTGGGGAACAGAGATCTCAACAGGATCTCACTACCCACTTCATAAAGTTTCTTCCTTCTTTGCAGGGTCTTCGGCAGCACCTTCTCCACTATAAACTTCCTAATTCTGCCCTTCCAGAGGGTTTTGAGCTGTATCCCCAGTTGCCCCCTCTGCGTCAGCAGTACCTCCAGAAACTGATCTCAGGGGTGCTCCAAAATGGGGTTTCAGAGACCTAGTATAGCTGCTGCAGAGGAAGAGATGGATACATTCTCCTGGGGTTCACCAACAGATGCCTGGCCAGAGAGAAGGGCTTTGTGTCCTAAGAGTGTGCAGGAAACAATAGAGCAGAAGGCTTGCCTTCCTAGGAGCAAGCTCTTTGAGCTTTTTTGGAGATTGGTGAGCCTACCCTTATGTCCTGATATCTGGAGCTCAGGATCTGGGGCTTCTGAGGGTCTGTGCTGGGAGTGAGGGGTGACTTAGCTATATACCCCTTCTTGGGGACAAGACATACTAACTACACCTCTTCCTCTCCCCACTTCAGGCCAGGGTATATGAATACTGGAGCTGAGCATTGAAATAAAGAATTTTTTTATCTTCTGGGAATTTGATTTGGACTGATTTCAGATGTACTAGTTCAGGATTGGTATCGAGGAATGGGTTATCTCTGGGGGAATCAGGACCACTGTGAGAGACATGGGGGAGGAATCATGAATGGGAGGTGAAAACTGAGTCCACATCTGGGACAACAAAAATGTGGGTCCCAGTTCTGGAGTGAAGCCAGGCCAGGGCGGTGCTCTTGGGAATGGGGGGGCGCTTCTAGAAGGACTCTCATCAGTCCACTTGGAGTGTAGGTGTGCTAAATGAGGTTAGCATCTTGTCTCCTTATGGTCCCCTATTTCCATCAACGGCAATCATGAGACAAGAAGAAGCCGGAAATCAGACTGGTGCAGTAGCTGTCTATCTTAAATCTGTTTGGGCTGCTATCACAGAATACCACAGGCTGGGTGGCTTTTGAACAACACACATTTATTTCTCACAGTTCTAGAGACTGGGAAGTCCAAGATCAAGGTGCTGGCAGATTTGGTATCTGGTGAAGGCCTGCTTCCTGGTTCATAGGCAGCTCTCCCATGGCAGAAGAGGCAAGGGAGTTCTCTGGGGCCTCTTTTTATACGGGCACTAATCCCATTTTACCCATGAAGGTGGAACCGTCATGACTTACTTCCCAAAGGTCCCACCTCCAAATACCCTCAATTTGGGGATTCCATTTCAATGTATGAATTTGGTGGTGGGACTGTGGCGGGGGCCGGGAGGGGAGGTGGAGTGAAAACATTGTCTATAGTGCTGTTCTACAACACCCCTTCCACTGTGGACTTTATTGGTGATAGGCAAAGGCTGGGGAGGAGTGGATCAAAGCGTAAACTCTTGATTCATTGGTTTCTTTCTTTCTTTTGGTAGTTTCTAGGTTCTTTTGCCTGAATTCCAACACTAAGCTTTCTTACAGTGTCATTTGCTGTGAGGAATTACTTACCATCATTGTGTTTATAGGTCAGGGTGAGTGCCGTGTGCTGTCAGTAGGTAGAGAAACCACTCGCCATAAACGGAGCTGCCGAACACAGAATCATACAATACGCTTCACTCAGCAACTCCGGTTTCTGCAAAAATAGCTCTCAAACTTATGTGAAAAAAATCCCCTGGACAGTAAATTAAAACAGATCACCGGGCCCTACCACCAGTGTTTCTGATTCAGTAGGTCTAGGGTGAAACCCAAGAATTTGCATTTAACAAGTCCCCAGGTACTGCTGCTGTCCAGAACCAACCGCGCTTGGGGAACTGTTGATTTACAGGGACCTTGCAAAGTAAATTCTGTGACCTCATAGTGAGAGTTAAATAAGGCATGGGTACCAAACTTAAAAAAATCACTGTTGTGTCTACACCTGGCACTCTACACTCAGAGACTTTACCAAGTAGCTAACTACTATAACTTCTTTTTTTCAGTGTTTTATATTAAGCAGGCCTCAGCCACTAAGATTGGTATTTTGAGCAAAAGAATGAGGAAGACACAAAACCGCCTGACGGCTGTGTGGCCCCTCAGTTGTCGGGTGCTTTGTGGTTTACAGAGAAACTTCCCTTCCTATGGTTTTGCAGGTGGTAGAGAAACTGTCTCAGAGCTGTTGTGATTTCTTCACCAAAACCAATTGACTAGGGATGCTAATACTAGCACTCTGGTCTTCTAACATCAGATCACCAAAATCACAGTAAGAAGTTGTGCACAGAGTTGACGCAGGCAACGGAATTGTACGAGGTGAACCCTGAGATCCTTCGCATCCTGAGGTCTGAGGTGGGAGTGGCCAGGCCGGCTTTAGGACCCAGCGGTCTCCAGTGAGCGACTGGACACTCCTATAAGCGGCAGTCTGGGCTGAAGTCGCAAGGTCTGACTCTGCAAGTCTGGCTGCAGTGGGCCAGTCCGCTCAGCCAGCTGCTGCTGTGGCTCAGAGCCGTGGGTAAGTGCCTTTTGGCAGTCAGGGAACCATCATGTTAGAGGCAGCTTCCTAGGCTTGGGGACCACAGTCGAGACAGGAGTCCCAAGTGGTTCCTGCAGAGGCCTCGAACTCTTGCAGCCAAAGCTCCTGGGTCAGTGTGTGGGGAGTGCAGGCAGAGAATTGCAGGGGTGCCTGAATCTGAGGATCCAGATAGCGGCTGGGGAAGGAGGGACAGGCCCTAGAGTCTCAGCACCGCCTGGGGGCAGAACCACCAAGGTAAGTCGAGAAAAGACGGGGGACCTGAAGGACCGAGTTCAGCTTGGTGCTCTAGGCATCCACTGGGAAGGGCTCTCCAGGGGAAAAACTTGCAGAGACAAAAGCAGGCACCACGACCCTTTCCACCCCCTCCCCCAGCCCTGCCTTCGGCGGCTTCCAGGTGCTGGTGTGCCCTGACTGGGTGGGGGTAGGGGTGTGGCTGTGAGAGGCTAGGGCAGCCTTCTCTTCATCTCCCATCCCGTTAACCTCTGTGCCCTCTCCCAACCCTGCTGTTGCCCTGTCACCTTTCAGGTGCCATTCTCTGCTCCAGCTTGGGGTCCCAGGCCCCTTTTCCCCCCTCCTCACCCTTGCCCCGGCCGGTTCCAAGCCCCTGGGTCCTGGACATCACCACACACCGCCTAGCCGCTTTGAGCCAGCCTCTCCCCTAATTCCCCCAGGTGAGCTCCTAGCTCCTTCCTCCCTTCTCCACTCACCACGGCAGACCCTCAGGCTGGGGCAGGTGCTCTTGACCCTTTCCTCCCTCCCTGCTCCCAGGCCCAGAGGGGCGTTGGCTGTTCTCCACCTGCAGGGCCAACAGCTGACGCGGGCCCACACAGTGTGGCCGGGACTACACCGGCAGCAGTGTGGTGGTGACAGTGGGGCCGCTGGGCCTCTGAAAGGCGTGCAGTTGTGGTGGGCACCAGGCGCCGGCCAGCCTCTGTAAGTGCGGAGCAGGAATAGACGAGGTTGGTGACCTGCGAGTCTGAGGTTCTGTGGTCAGGGGAACCAAGGCTATGTACGCACCACTTTGTGTCTTGGAGTATTCCGCAGTGACAAGCGGCCAGGGCGGCTTTGTCCCTTCTTCCAGCGGAACTCGGGTAAAGGTGGCAATAGTCGCCACCAAATTAGCCGTACCCAGGAGCCTGTTTCTGCCAAGTGGAGTGTCCCTAACCAGCCACCAAGGGTGGCTTGAGCTTCCCTCCGTCTCCATTAAGCCTCGCGAAATAAGTGTAAAATCTAGGGAATTTCCTGCCGGTCCAGTGGTTAGGACTCTGTGCTTCCATTGCTGGGGGCCCGGGTTCAATCCCAGATCGAGGAACTAAGATCCCGCAAGCCGCGCGACGCGGCAAAAAAAAAAAAAAAAAAAAAAGTAACATCTAATTTTATGGTGTGCGTACCTAAGTCTCCCCATTCCTTCAAAATCGACTACGTCCTCCAAGTCCTTCAGATAAGAACTTCTGAAGCTGCCTCTGTCAGCAATCTCTGCCCTAGGCGGGCGGCCCGAGGGCCGATGGTCAAGGGCCGGGGACTCAGCGCCTGCTTTCCGCAGGATCTCAGCCTATGGAGCCGCGGGCGGCAAAGGTGCCAAGAACCACCTGTCACCGGCGCATGGAGTCTTCCTCTCCGCCGTTTTCCCCCTTGGTCACGGGGAGCTGCCTTACATCCTCGTAGGGCAGCAGGAAGAGGACGCCTGTCCGAGAGTAAGCGGAACCAGTGAGAGGGGGACGGCTCAAGCGCCCCAGGGCGAGGGCTGGGTGGAAGGAGAGGGCGCTCCTGGGGTTAAGACCTCAGCACTGAGAGCGGAGGGTCCCGGACCCCCGCTGATTCCGGTCCCGGCCGCCCGCCGGGGAGCCAGGAGAGCCAGCTCGTTCTGTCTCGGAGAGTCTCCGGCCGCTGAGGAGCACGCGGCGACGGAGGGGATGGGAGGGGTTCCGGGGTCGCGGAGCTGGGCAGGAGTCGGAGCGGATGGGGGTTGCAACCGCCGTCTTTCGGGTACTTGCTTGCCTCGGCGCGGGCTGCTCCCGCCTCCAGCGCTCAGCGTTGAGGTCGCAAACCTTCCCGCGGGCGCGCACGCACACGAGCTCCTTGGCGTCCCCAGAGCCCTGGGCCTGGCTGGGAGCCCCTTCGCTTACTCCAGTCCCCGGGGTGGGGCCCTCACCCAGCGCTAGGGTCGTCGCTGGACGGCTAGAGGGCGCGCCCCTGAACGCCGCTGCCGCGTAGCTGCGCGCACGCGAGCTGGAGCCGCTGCTGGTGGTGGCCGGAGGAGGTGGTCGGGCGTACCTGAGGCGGGAGGACCGAGGCCGGACTCAGGCCACCCCCGAAAAACTGCAGAACCGCTCGGCGGCTCCGGGAAGCTCGCGAGAGGCGGGGCGGCGGGTGAGGGCGCGGGCTGCGGCGGGGAGGAGGCCGTGCTCCCCCTCCCCGCGGCCGGCCATCCCGCGGTCTCTCTGCAGGTGGAGGGGACGGCTGGACGTCGCGGGTCCCCTCTCCGCCGGCCGGCCGCTCACCGCGGAAGGGAGCGGAGGGTGGCCAGGGCTGCAGGGAGGCCTGGGCTACGCTTGGCTGGGCCTCAGCCGGCGGCTTCACTGGAGACGGCGGCGGCCACCCGGGTAGGTGAACTTTTGGGGAGGGCACCTGGGCAGCCCCGAGAATGAAGTGAGGTTAGAGCCTTAGAACACACCTAGTCCCTCTGGAGATAGTTGAGTTAGGAAAGGTGTTGAGCTAGCTCCAGGTCAGAGTAGGTAGAGTAACAGCTCTTAGAAAAGGAGGTCAGATAAGTTGCAAGTCACACGTGCAGGTAGGACTCCCTCGATTTTCTCTTACATCCAGGACCTTTGTCATTACAAGTCCCATCCTCGATCTGCAGCAGTCCCAGGAACTTACAGCTGGCTGAGTTAGCAGGCTGAGCAGGGAGGCAGAAAGGCAGGGATAGTTTAAGTCAGCAGTTCTCAAAATGTGGTCCCTGAGCCAGTAGCATCAGCACCACCTAAGAAGTTGTTAGAAATGCAAATACTCAGCCCCCTTCCACCTACTGAATCAGAGACTTTAGGGGAGGGTCCCACTATCTATGTTTTAGTCAGTCCTCTAGGTGATTCTAATACACTCCAGAGTTTGGAAACCACTGCTATAAAGAAACAGAGCCTTTGTGTCTGTCTGGGCTGTACTGTTCGTAAGTACTTTATACGCATCGTCTCCATTATCACAGAAGTGGAATATGTGGGTTGGGCCTCTTCCATTTGATAGCTGAGGACATGAGATTAGAGAGATTCAGACAGACAAGGAGCCATCCCAGCCGACGTGAACCAGGCCTTCAGATTCCATCTGATTACTCCTTTCCCACTTCTCTGGCCCCTCAGCTCCCACATGCAAGCTGGCAGCACCTGTACTGTAATGTGAGTGTGTAGAGAAGGCCACACTGGGGTTTCCACTGGGAGACTCCAGCTTCCCCACTGTTCATAAGCCAGCTTCCCAGCTGTGAGGCAGCTGTGTGCCCCTTCATCCCCCATTTTGTAGCCAAACCCTCTCTTTCAATTTCCAGGGGGCGATGCCTCAGAGGCTGACATCCTCTGGGCTGATGGGGAAGATGGGGTATCCTTCATGCACCCCAACAGAGAGCTCTACCTGCAGCCTCTGCCAGGTGTTGGCCCCTATCCCCCACCTTTCAGCTAGCCTAGCCCTTTTCCTCAGTCGCTCCCATCTGAGCCACCAACTCTGCACCGTGAACTACCTGTTCTTGCACAGCACAGGAATACTTGGGAACTGGGCTGTCAGTTGTAATGCCAGTATGGGGCATTCTGGTCTGCTTGTCAAATATCTCTTGCTATGAATTCTCTTCAACTACCTGCAAGCTCAAGGATCCCAGAAGAGGAAGCATACAGGCTTGACAGAAGTCCCCCAAGCTCTCCCACCCACCCTAGACGCCTGGCACTGCTCCTTGTTCCAAAGTCCAGGGCTAAAATTAACCATGAGGCTGGAAAAAGTAGGTATGCCCCCCATGCTCACCCCGCAATATGAGTTCTTTTACTCATAGTCATGGAGAGCCATGGAGAGGTGGAGATTCGATTATACGTCAATCGAGGTCATTGCCTTTTGAAAATCTGCCAATGGCAGGCAGAGCTCCAGTTGGCCAGATGCACGTGCCCAGAGGGCATGGAGCTGGCTGCAGATAACATCACCTGCATGGGTATGTCCTGCCTGTGTCCGAGGTCTGGACTCCTGGGGCCATGGGCTGGGGTGGGGGCAGTAGGGCACGGGAAGGATGCCTGCTGTGTGCCAGGTACCATGTTGGGTGTTGGGCAGGGGATTGGAGGTGCATCTCTGCCTTCAAGGAGCACATAGTCTAATGGTCTAGTGTGTGAGGGGAGATATCTATCACTATCTCTAGATATACATCTACATTTATATCTAGATATATATCATAGTGACAGTTGGCATGGGAGGTGTAAAGTATTTTAGGGGTTCTCAGGAGGGAGAGGCTGCATTCATTTAGGATAAGTGGGGAAAGCATCATGGAAAAGCTAACAATTGAACTGAGTCTTGAGGCATGTGTAAAACTTGGGGTAGAGGGACGGAGAGGCGTTTCCCACTGGAGATGTGTCTTTCTCTCTAGACCTGCCCACCTCTCAGACCCTTTGATTCTGATGGTGGCTGTGATGTTGATCTTGACACTGAGACTCCCTATGGTGTGTGGGGTCCAGATTCTGGGTACAGAGCATCCAGCAAGCATGGCTGATTTCTCCACTGAACTGATGGGCTTCTGTGGGGTCCCAGGGGCAGACGTGGCTGATTTCAAGACCTCTACTCCCAGCAGAGCTGTGGTGGACTCCTCTGGGGTTCTAAGAGTAGAAGGACAACATTTATCTTAATGGGCATCTGGAGAGGTGTCCTGGGAAGGGGGCAAGTCAGGGTGGGCCTGATGGCCAGGTAGAGAGTGTGCCGTTTTTCCTCCCACCCTCAGTGAACCATAAGAAGTGGCAGGGCCTGTGGTGGATGAGGCTGCCAGGCCCTGAGCTCCAGCTGAGCAAGCTTACCTCCACCATCAGGACAACCCCCAACCCCTACTACTTCCAGGTGGGGCTTGGCCCAGCCCAGTCCTGGCCTCTGCCCCCAGGGCTTACGGAGGTTTCCCAGTAAATATCACTCTGCTCAGCTGCGTCCTCCCCCTCCTTCTGAGAACCTGTGCACTCTGAATCCCCACCCTCCATCCTGCTCCCTGTTGTGGTAAATTATGGATCCCAGAGAACGTCTCGTCCAAACCCCTTGTGTAGAGAAGAAGGGCAGAGAAGCTCCTAAAGGGAAGGTAACCTGTCCAAAGTCAGCTGTCATCCCCAGTTCTGGGATGGTAGGGACCTTAGGATATGATTCCTTTGGAGCAGGGGTTGCCTCCACCCCAGGATGTCTGCAAGGACCTAAGGGAAGCCTTAGCACAGACTCCCACCCCATCCCCTTACCCCACACCTGCCCCCTCTTCTGCCCTGGCTCTGGCCTAGTCACCGTCACCCTTGCAGAGTTTGTACTTGGGGACATGCCGTGATGCGGAGAGCTCAGACCCTCAGAGAGGGCCAGCAGGGCATATGGAGGGCAATCAGGGGGACAAGGGGGACCCTCGAGGACCCTCCCCAGACCCAGTCACCCACTCACTTCCAACCTGTCTTCCTGCAGAGCCCTGGGCCGTGGTGCCTTTGGAGAGGTCTATGCGGGACTGGTGATTGGCCTTCCTGGGGACCCCAGCCCCCTGCAGGTGACTATCAAGGTGAGAGGGGGTGGGGCTTCCAGCTGACAGTAGGAAAGAAGGGTCCAGGGAGGAAAGAACAGTGGCTGGAGCTAGGGTCAACCTGCCTTCCTGAAGTGTCCAGGGCGCTCAGGAGCTCTGCCCTCTTCCTCCCAAGACTCTGCCCGAACTCTGCTCTCAACAGGACCAGCTGGATTTCCTCATGGAGACACTATCATCAGGCACACCTGGGGCCAGGGGCAGGCGTGGAAGGTGGGAGGAAGGCACCCAGAACTGCCTGCACAAACAGCCTGTCTTCACCCTGGGGCTGAGAGGTAGCAATTCTAGAGACACAGAGGTTCACTCCAGTCTGTGGAGCCTAGAGCATGGTTTCTCTCCCTGCTGGTGATGGGATATGTGCACCACTGGCTCAACAAGGTCAGCCATCAGGACACTGCGCTGCGTGGGGCTCAGCATGCAGGCTGCCCCTGGCCCAGTTCTGCTGGAGTTGATGTCTGGAGGGGACATGAAGAGTTTCCTGAGGCATAGGTGGCCACAGCTGACGAGACCCTTCTCCCAGCCCGCCAGGCCCCTCTGAAGACCCTGTTCATGTGTCCCCAAACCTGCATGGTCTGATGCGCCTTCTGCCTGACCCAGGGCCAGCCATCACCTTTGGCCATGCAAGACCTTCTCCAGCTGGCTTGGGACATAGCCCAGGGTTGCCACTACCTGGAGGAAAATCACTTCATCCACAGGTTGGAAGTGATCCTGGTTCTGGGGACCTCGAGCCCAACTCCTTCCCCAGGGAATAGCCCTTCCACATAACTTTTAAAGAAAAGATCAAGGCTGGAGTTTCTCAGTTCTGGCAGTGAATTTTTTACCTGACTCTGCAGGGACATTGCTGCCAGGAACTGCCTGCCGAGCTGCACCAGACCCAGCCAAATGGCCAAGACTGGGGACTTGGGGATGGCAAGCACTATCTACAGGTGTAGGACCTGGGGATGTGGAGAAGGCTGATGCTCCAAGGGAGTTTACCAGCGCCTTTGGGCCATTTAAACAATTCACTCCTCTCCTCCCTCATGTAGGGCCAGTTATTAAGCAAGGGGAGCCAGGCTCTGCTGCCTGTCAAGTAGATGCCCCCAGAGGCCTTCCTGGAGGGCATCTTCACATCCAAGACAGATTCCTGGTGATAACACGCCCTCCCCTGCCTTGGGCCATCTCTTGTGAGGGAAAGGGAAGCTGTGCCTGATGGGCCTCACTTAGTTCCTCCCACTGGTGATGCAGGTCTTTTGGAGTGCTGCTCTGGGAGATCTCACTGTGCCCTACTCTTGGCACACCGATCAGGAGGTGCTGGGCTTCGTCATCTGAGGGGGATCGATGGACCCTCTCAGGGGCTCTCCAAGGCCTGTGTGAGTATGGAGTGTTGCCTCAGGAGGGAGGTCTTTCACAGCCGTGGGTTGGCATGAACTCCTGCCTCTCCCCAGGTACCATCTCATGACCCAGTGCTGGCAGCATGAGCTTGAACTTCACCCTAGTTTTGCCAGCATCTTGGAGGTCTTCAGTACCGCACTCAGGTGTGCCCCCTGACCTGTCCCGACCACCCTGGACTTGGGGGTCAGGAGGGAAGCCATAAAACAACACTGTGGCCCCCTGCTCCCCTACCCTCCCATTACAGAACCCTGATGTGCTGAATTCACCCCTTCCAGTGGAACTGGGACCCATCCTGGAGGAGGAAGGGGCTGGGGAGCCTATCTTTGGGGGACCTAGGATGTCCACAGACCCAAGAACCAAGTTTGGGGAGCTTGAAGAGCTGGGGAGGGAACCTCCTTGGCCCCTGGCCTCAAGCCCTCCAAATCCAGGGGTCTCCAACCTCAGAACCTTTGGAATCCCACCTATGGTTCCTGGGTCCCAAAGGGCCCTGAGGGTGAGGACTCTGGCACTGAGGGTAGCAGTTCCTCCCTGTACTCCTCCCCAGGCTTCTAGGTGGCTTATGTTCCAAGTAGCCTCTGTCCGCCACAGTCTGTGCTGTATGTCTGGGCCTGTATATCTGCTGCCCTGGCACCATGGACCCTCCATCCTGGAAACCAGTCTCAGGCCCCCTGGGCAAGAGTCTGGCCACTCCCAGCCTTTGATATTTGGGACCAGAGGATACTCCCCCAACTCCCAGGTATAGGTGGGGAATTGAAATTGGCTCCTGCAGGAAGTCTTCTCTAGATTGCCTTTACCCCACTAGCGTCCTCCATCTGGGCAGCCCCCAACACTACAGATACCTCTAATAAAGAGCTCTTCTCATATCCTCCAGTGATCTGAGTGGATGTGAGGGATGCCAGGGAACTGAGAAAGAAGGGACCAGAGGAGGGAGGGGATGAGGCCTGAGTCAAAGCTGGTGTCTTTGAGTTTTATTGGGAAGGGGAGTCCATTGTAGTGTGGGAGGCCAGACCAATAGATCTAGTACCTGTGAAATAAAGTTCATTATCTGGCTTCTCTGGAGAGGTATGGAGCCCCCTCAGAAGAGCTGGGCTGAAGAAGAAGCCACTCATCCCACTTCTACTCCTCCCTTGCCCGGTAAATTAGTGTCATCAGCTCTGGGAACACTGGGGCTTTTATGGGGGCCAGGCCCTGCGCGTGCAGTGTGTCCTGTAGTGGTCGGCACCTGGCCCTATAGGACTGTATGAACCGCCCCGCACCGCGGGGTTTCAGTCTCTCGCCTGCATGCATGGCGGGGATGCAGGCGCATGTCCTTCTGTCAGACCCTCCGGTCCGTGGGGACAGGGACCCAGCCTCATCTCTCAGCCAGGCTGGCCAGGATGCCAATGAGATTGTCCAGCCCCAGCAAGTAGCCGTCCTCTCGGTTGCCCTCCTCCCAGGGCCGCCGGTGGTCCAGGGTCTGGCCGTCGGGGAGGGGCGTGGTCTTGCCGAAGTCGATGAGCCATACGCCGGCGCGGTGGCAGTGATCATGCACGAAGAGGAGCGAGCTGCCGATCACCTGCCGAGTCCCACACCGTCAGGCTACGGCTCTAATCCGGAGAAGCCCTCCACCCTATTCCCTCACAGACCCCAGACCCGGTACCTGAGCCTACCCCTCTTACCTCGTGCTTCCTAAAGAACTCAGAGACCTCCAGTGTGTCCCGGATCTGCTGCAGGCGGTTCAGATACCTCCTCTGGAGAGGGGAGAGTAGGAGAGGAGAACAAATTAACTGAATACCAGTTGAACCTCTGCGAATATGAGGAGCGCTATGATGCATGTTTGGCTTGGCAAATACCGTGGTGAGGAAGGCACAGGCCCCCACGTGGCGCGCAGCCCAGAAGGGAAGGAATGTAAAGCAATTACAACACAATGCGATAAATGCTATGATGGGGGTCACATAGGGTAGGGTGCTACAAAAACTGACCTGACCTGGGGACACCCCTAGGTATCAGGCTCCCCAACACCTCAGGGTTCTGGGATCCCGCGCTCACCAGCACTTCGGCATCCCCTTGCACAAACTCCTGGAAGACGCGAATCACCTGCTCCCGGCTTCGCGTGGTCTTGAAGTCTGTGCTGCAGGAGCCGTCGGCTTTCTGTAGGAGGTGGGCAGAAATTGTCAGGGGCCCCGTGCCCGCCCGAGGGGAGAGGATCAGGCCACAGCAGCGGTACCTCCCGGGACGTTGAATGCCAGGGACAGCGAGACTGCCGCCAGAGGCTTGCCTCTTCCGGGGACTGTCAGGGTGGGAGGTCAACATGGAGGACAGACACCGCACAGTGGGGCTGGGGCGGGGGAAGGGCCCGGGAGGTGCAAGGCGAAGCGGGCCTGGCTCACCTTAATGCCCTCGATGCGGAAGCCGAGCGTGGTACTGGAGCTGATGCCTTCTCGCCACTGCATGTAGCGCGGCTTAGTGACCGCGCGCTGCGCGTGCTCCTCCTCGGTGGGTGCCGCAGGGTCTATGGCCAGCATCTTCTTGTACATGTCCTTCCGCAGCTTGGGCCGCTCGCGGGCTTTGGTCAGCTCCTCTTCCAGGTAAGTCCTACGGAGGCGCAGACAGCGGCGGGGCTTGAGCAGGCGCACACCCGGACCCTGTAAAGCACGGCCTTGGGCACGCGTAGAGCGCTCGTTCCCACCCCGGGCCCTTTACAGGTTCCCACCTGCCCGGTAGGGCACGCGTACCTGACGCCCATCTTGCAGTCAAGTACGCAGGGCCCATCGAAGCCGTCGAGCAGGTCCTGCAACTGCAGGTAGCTCTCGCCGTCGCGCTCCACCACACCGTGGAAGGCGGGCACGCAGCCGCGCAGCGCGTCCGCCATGAGCCGTGCCAGGCAGTAGCGCTCGGGCTCTGAGCTACGCTTCAGAATCATCCCGCTGCTGCCCGCCTTGAAACTCCCTGCGGGCAGGCGCTAGTTAGTGCTGCCTAGTCCCTTCCTCCCCGCCTCCACCCACCTCCCCCGTGCCTGCTCCGTGCTCACCCGTGTGCCCTGCCAGCTGCACCCAGGAGTAGCGCTTCTTGAAAGGGCTCATGACGGGCAGATTCACCATGGTCCGGATCTTCTGCCAGTGGCTTTTCTGAAAGCGACACGGTCCCGGTCTGTAAGTTAGCGTCTGCATAAGCCCTCCTTCCTCTGGAACATGGTCTCGCCCAGCCCAACCTTACAATAAGCAGCTAGAGCCTGATGAGTCAATCATTCATTTGCTCAGGGAAAGTTTATTGTGAGCCTGTGTGGCGGACCCTGAGACAAGCACATGCAGTTGACAGACATCCAGCTCTTCAGTGTGCTGAAAAGAGCCCTGGGCTCAGTGTCAGAAAGCTCACGTTTGCACCCCAGTTCTGCTGCTCCAAAGCTGCATGGACAGGTTACTAAACTGCTCTGTCAAGGTTTTAGGACTTTTGTGAGCATGAGAATCACATGATGGTCACTCTTGTTTAAAAAAATGCAGATTTTCAGGTCCACCACAGGGAAATTCTGAGCAGTCTGGGGTGGGACCAAAAATTTGCATTTCTACCAATGCCTCCGGATATTCTGCGGCCTGAGAAGCCTCTGAGCTGTTTCTTCATCTGTAAAATAGGGAAATAACCGCTCTCGCTGCGTTGTTGTGAGTAGTAAATGAGGCTTGAGTGTGACAGATGCCCCCACCCCCAACCCATTCCTTGGCATGAAGCAGTAGCTGGACAAATCTGGATTATTGTTTCATTTACTTGGGACCATTGGTTCCTCTCATTTAAGGAGAAAGACAAACATGGAAACAAACCATTACATAGGCCCAGGGCAGGGAGGCCAGCCTGGTAGGGCCTGGAGAAAGAGTGGCTTGGGGCTCCCCAAGGCCCTCTTGCTATCCCTGGATGCCATCTCACTCCTAGCCAGTTGACAAGGCCCAGGGCACCCTTAGTCCTGATCTGGACCCAGAAACCTGGGCTTTGAAAATGGGATACAGAGCTGCGGGTCTGTCATCTTAGATGAAATTGGGAGGGAAATGTAGATTTTGGTGTACCTTTTGCCTCTTGACCATTGTGTCTAGCCTTCAGCCAGTCCCGAGAGTATCTCATACTCTGGACCTTTCCTCTTCCCACCCCAAACTCATCAGTCCTGTGTCTACCCACTGAAGTGCAGAGGTTTGTTCATGCAAACATTGTGTCTGCTGCCTCCTCCCAGGGTGCCTGCCTTTTAGAGGAGTTACACATGTGTGCCTCCACAAGCGTGGAACCCAGGAATCCAGCTTCCCTGACCAGAGGGTGTTCTAACAGGGAGAGGGAGAGCTGGCATGCTGGCCTAAGCAGGGGAGGCTGATGACCATAAAACCCCTTTCCGTGGGGAGGAGATGGAAGTTAGTGACAGAGCACTGGATGGGGAGTCCGGAGTTGGTTCCAGTCCTGGCTCTGTCACTTTCTATCTGAGTGAACCCAAGGGAGAATTTCATCTGTGTGAGCCTGTTTCCTCTGGACCTAGCTGTTGCCATAACACGAGCCACCATTTACTGACCGCCTACTGCATGCCAGGCACTTCTCATCTCCATCAGACAGCCTTGCTCCTGTTTTCCTACTGAAGTCCCTACATGGCACACTAGGGTGTGATCACTTGTCCAATCCCTGGGGATCTGGGGGTGTTGCCAGAAGCAGCCCACTAGAAGCATGACATCTCTTTCAAAACTCCCTTTTTCACGCTTTAAATACATACAAGGTTTGCATTATGCTGCATAATAAATCCAAGTTTTATTATAAAACTCTCCCACCTCCGAATCCTCAAATAAAATTCCCGGAAGATGTATGTGCTGTGTGTATTGAGTGGCACCATCCTATACCCTCTTCCCCCACACTCAGTTTGAGATTCGTTATGCTGCTGCACATGCACAGCAAGTGCATGAGGTGGTAATTATTGCCATTTTACAGAAGGCAGTCAAAGTTCAGAGAGTTAACATCCCCTCCATCCCTGCTCCCAGCCCCCAGTCTCTGCCTTAAGCTCCAGTTCAACCCCCTCCTCATGCTTCAATTGCCCCAGCAGGTTCCAAAATCCATGCTACCACCCAGACTCCCTTTAGGGGTCAAAGGCGACCCTGCAGGAGAAAGAGTTTTGTACAAGATGAAGCAATTTGCAGCCACAAGGTGGTATGTTTTAATCACTGAGGAAACACTGAGATCTGTCTGGGGACCCCTCTCTGTTGGCTGGACACTTCTGCTTCATCCAAAGGGATGGGTTTAATGGTGGGGCTTCGGGCAGCTTTAGGGACTTACTGGCAGAATTTGGGGGACAGTGGGACCAGAATGGACTTCATCAGAGGGTACATCTAGTTCTGTAGCCACCCTAGTAGAAGAAGGAACCAGCCTTGGGTTAGATGAGATGGGAGAACGGCATCATCCTTTCTTCTGGGATCATGTGGGGGCAGTGAGTGAGGCTGGAAGGTGGAAGCTGTGCCTGGTAGAAGAGGATTTAGTACCTGCAATCCTGGGCTACTGACACTTGGTTGATGTGTGATAACATAGCACTGACTTGCTCCCAAGCTGAGGTAACGTGGGGTCATCTCTCCACTCTCCCCACCACAGTTTTGTGAGGATCGTATCAGCCAAGAGCATCAAAGACTAAGGCTGGTTCCAGCCATGTGGGTTACAAAGGGCTTTCACACCCATAATGCCATCTCAGCCCTCTCAGCCACCTCTTGAGGTTGGTTGGTAGTGACAGGATTTAGTTCTTCTGCCAGTAATGCATATGGTCAAACATGGAAGGAGCTGACGCAAGTATCATGGAACTCTGTCGTCTTCCATCTTAGGGAGCTACCTCCCCCAGGGAACATAATGCATACAAAGATGCATGTATCCAAAAAGGTTCTGGGAGAATCATTCTTTGGTGGGTGGGTGGGGATTTGGGCACACGAACAACAGCAGGGAATATATTTTTGAGCAGGTAAGGCTTTTATTGTATGAATATCAGAAAGCAGATTTATTATGTTACAGAGTGAAATCTAGCTGAAAAGAGGGCTAAAACTCCATCCTCTGGCACAGTCTATTCCGCCACAGAAGTCTGGGAAAGCCGCTCACAGCCAAGAGGCTACCCAGACATCTTGGGACAAAAAGCTCAGGAGAGCTGACCATGTGAAAGAGTCTTTGATGAAATCACAGGAGGACCCTCCGATACTTCCTCACTCATGGAGCTGGACAGGGAGCATCTCTCTCTGGGCAGGGCTTAGCTGGATACTAGCCTCAGACCCTCCTTTGTCTGAGCTCTATTTGGAAGCCCTGAGGACTCTCCTCCTTCTCATATCACACCAGATATTCAGTGTATCTTCCGCCAGAACGGATCCTTTGCTTGTCTTTGGTATTCATCCCCATCCTTCCTGACTTCTACTCCCTACCTCCAGCCGTCCAGACTCTGGCTAAAGCTCTCTACCACCCAACCCCCTCACCATGTTCCCAATACTCTATCAAATAAGCACTCCTGGTGGCAGGGGTGATGAGAACAATCCGTTTAAATTTATAAGATGATTTGCACTAAGGTACAAGTGACCCATGACTTCACCCTCCCAGGGGCATCTGCTTTTTAAAAAGGAAGGCTGTTAACCTAAATTCTGCTCTATAATTAGTGAGAAGTGAAGTGTGGGAATTCTGGGTCCAGGACAGGATCGAATCCAGGTCTCCTTACCCATCCTGGAGCACTGAGAGAAGAGAACCAAACAAACAAGAGTCAAACACCCTCTCTTCTGCTAGAGCAACATCCCAAAATTGTTTTAATAGGCAGACAAGGCCTAAGAATACAGTCATGCCAGCCACCCTTGGGGATAGGGCCCCAACTCCTCTCCTGGCCTGTATGGTTTTCCCTGCCCATGACTCTTCCCTCTACCGTAGGAAAGGACCCAGCAGGGAGGCAGGCTGCCCAGTCCCAACTACCTTGCGGGGAGCCCAGCTCCAGGCTCTGGAAAGACTGTGCGTAGCTCCTAGGAAGAGAAGTGAAGGATGTACAAGCTGGGCAGAGCCTCCCCTCTCTTCCCATTGTCCACCCAGGCCTGAGTTGTAAGGGGTTGGCGAGCTGGGAGCTGCCGAGCACTGCCTCAGCACCCTTCTCCCAGGTGCATCCTTCACGGTCAGCCAGCCGATGGGCTCTGCTTCCTACCTGGGGAAGCCCTAAAGGCAGCCTGGGCGGGCGCACTGTGGCGCTCCCGGCCTGGCCGCGAGGCAAAGTCCGAGCTGGGCCCTCCACGCAGACGCAGGCGGCCTCTGTCAACAGCCCCCGGCTTATCTGTCGCTGCCTCGGCTGTTTGCCTTCGGGGAGGCCCCGGCGTGCTGGGGGTTGGGAAGGCCTGGGACTCGCCGCCTCGGAGCTGGAAGGGCTCTCAACGGCCATCTGCTCCAGCTCCTGCCGCCCCAGGTGACAGCGAGGCCCAGAGTGGGAGAGGCCGGCCGAAGACGCCCAGGCAGAGCTGCGACTGGTCCCCGGAGTCTTGACCCAGGCTGGCCTGTCTACGTTGTACACAGTCCTGGGCCGCGGGACCTACTCCGCCTTTGGGAGGAAGAGCGAAGCTGGGGGCTTCCCTCCTGGCTCCCTTCCTCCAGCGCCCGCCTCTCAGCTGTCAGAGATTTGAGCGGGGGAGCGGTGGGCCCACAGCTACTGCTCCGGGTTTTTGGAGGTGGGGAGGGAGGAGTCCTCTCACTGCCCCACATCACCGCCTTAGAAACCACTGGGCGGCACCCGCCTCCTTTCAGGCGCCAAGGTTGCACCAAGAATGATCGGGGATCAGGCGTACCCTTACGCCGGGGGAGGAGAGAGGGACTCCCCGCACCCTACACCTGGTGGCGGAGTGTGTTCCTGCTCTATGAGACTTTTCCCTTCTTCCTCTTGTGTCACTTACAAACCACGCCGCCCTCTGGGTAATGTAAGTCTCAGGGGTAACTGAGTCACGGAGCCACAGCAAGTCATTACAGTGACTCCCGCGCCTCGTCCAATCCGAGCACGGGGGGAGCCCAGGTTCAGCAGGCCCCGGCAACCCCGGCGCGCGTCCGCCGCTCTCACCGCCCTTCTGGGCAGGCCCCGAGCCACCAGAGCCTGCGGGGAGCCCTTCGCCTCTCCCTCCACTACAGGGACACTTGCATAACGAGGATCTAGAGCAACTCCTTCGCGTTGACCGCGGATAGTTATGTGAAGTATTTGGCCTTGGTTAAAACCAGGGGGACAAGACGGCTATCCTGGGCGCGGCACATGCGGGAGGGGCAGGCACCGGGAATGACTTCACCGCACCTTAGCCTGGGTTATCCGAGGGTCAAACCTGGCCCCGGAACATCCAGGCTACCAGAGGCGGAGGTCAGCAGGCTGGTCCCACCCTTTCCGCCTCAGTTTACCTTCTCCCGGGCCAGAATTAGGAGGAGTAAAGCGAAGGAGGGCTGCGTTCCGCCCCCTGCCAGAGCTCCCAGTCCCGCGCCCCTCCCTTCCCTGCGTCCACGCCTGGTGCGGGCGCCGGGAGCAGACGGCGGCGGCTAGCGAGCAGAGCCTGGAGCGCGGCTCCACTCCCACTCAGGAGAGGGAAACCGTGGCAACGGCGGGGGTGGGGCCGCGGCGCGGGAGAGGGGGAGGCAGAGAGGGAGACTCGTTGACCCCACTCTCCGAGAGTTCGTGGGGTAACGCTAAGCCCCTCCGATCCCTCCAACCATCTCTCAGCCAGCAAGTCACGCTCCCCCCCCGCCCCCTCCCCGCTCCCCGTGGCGGGTCGCAGACTCCTCCTTACTCTCTTAGACGCCCCAGGGCCCGGGCCGCGACTCGCCTGTGGAACCGGGGTGACCACTGTAAAGGTGAGGGGTCGGCCCGGCGCCTCCCTTTGGCCCCAATGCCCTCCTAAAGAGTGAGACTCGGACCCGCCGGGGAGGGAGCTTAGGGCAGGAGTCGGTCCGCAGAGAGCTCAACGCAGGTCCCCGCACGCAGCCCCCGCGCCCCGCGCTGGCCCCGCCCCCGCGGCCAGTACCTGAACCACGTCCTCGCTTGTTTCCAGCTGCACGTTGCCGCGGCTCCGGCTCTCGCTGTCGCTCAGAAGATCGTCCTCCGAGTCCTCGGGCAGCGACGAGGAGCCAGTGGAGGAGAGCGACGAGGTGGAGAGGCGGCGCGGCTGCTGCAGGTGCGACGAGCCCGCGGCCGGGAGCCAGCCACCCTCCGGCTTGGGCGGCCCGGGGCTGGCCGGGGTCACGTCCGGCTCCTCGGCCGTCACAGTCAGCTGCGGGATCACCGGGGCAGGGGGAGCCCGCGGAAGCCCGTTGGGGATCTGTCCCCCCCGCCGCTTGGCCCCGCGGGCCCGGGGCTCCCCTGCGGCGGCGGCGGCGGCAACCGCGGCGCAGCGCGCCTCGAAAAGCAGGCGCAGCTCCCCGACACTCCGGCGCGGGGCCCGCTCCAGCCCGGGGCTGCAGGGCCCCGCGCCTCCCGGTCGCGCCATGCCCGTCGGGCCCCCGGGCAGGGTCATTTCCCAGCAAGAGAGCCGCCGGGGAGCCCACCAGCCCGCGGCGCGGCGGGTACTGGAGCCGCTCGGCGCCCCAGGCTTGAGACTGCCCCGAGGCGGAGCCTGCGCGGCCGCTCGCCTGGGCCCCGCCTCGGCCGCGCCCCCCGCCCACTCCTTTCACTTTCAGAGAAAGCGCGGGCCTCCTTGGGCTTCTGCCCAGAATGGAAGGCTCCCTGTTGCTCCTCCGGGTGGCCGGGAAGCCCAGACCTCCTGGAAACACACAAAACCCGGGCCTGGCCCTCGCGGCCTCTCAGTGCCCACTCTCGAGAAGACCGGAGGGGCTGCTCCGCCCCACGCCGCGCCGCGTCCCCGGGAGATTCCTCCTGGCAACTCCAAGGGCCCCGACCCCGCAGGAGAGGAGCTGGTCCAGCTCTTGCTCTCGCACCCAGTCCCTGGGGCTCCTTTCCGCGTTCCACTCATCCTGGGCTAAGGCTTCCAGGTCTCCGGGGCTTTTCTCCGCCCGGGACCCCTTCGGCACAGAGTTCAAGGCCTTCGGCTTCCCAAAGAAGCCTCACCCCAGGGCATGTGCCCAAGTGGGGACTCTGTCTTGGGAACGAGCTGAGGCTTCTCCCCCTCCCTACCCCTCCAGCTCCCCACTTCCCGGCTGGCAGAGTAAAAGGTCAGGGGGCAGGACCCGGATCTCTCCAGGTTTTCCTGGCAGAGACCTGGGCAGCATCCCTGGCTGCTGGCTGGCGAGGGCTGAGCCCTTCTTCCTCCTTTCCTTTTGGAGTTCGGGGCTTGGAGTCTGCTGTGGGGCTGTAAGCAAGCCATTTCACCTCCTTTGAACTGCTGATTCTCCTTGGCAGGGTTGTTGTCCACCTCACAGGATTGATGTGAGAATGAAATGAAAGATGTGCTATCTCTGAAACGTTGGAATCATTTTAGTGTGAGTGGTAGAAAGAGCCAGCCTCAGGTTCACCACACCCCAGATGTGATTTTAGGCAGCCTCTTCACCTTTCTAAGTTCCGTTTTCTTACTTGTAAACGTAGGAAAACCTCACCTGACCCACAGAGTTGTGGCTGTGAAACTGGGAAGAGGGTGCTAATGGCGGTGAAGGATCTCATACACTGCAACGTTCTCAGCAGCGGCATCATAGTGGCGGATCTTCGGTCACTTCGCATGTTAGCGGTCAGCTGAGCCGCAAAGGCTGCTTTGTGTAGAAGTCAGCATTTCACAGCATTTCCTGTTTTCCCCCAAATGCCATGAGTGAGAATCCCTCATCAGGTGCCCGGTGCCTAGGGGTTATTGGGGGACCTCTGGGGAGACTGCCCTCAGAAGGACAGCCTCTGAGCTGATGAAGGCCAAAAGGAGGAGCTTTCCTTTCATTATCTCCCTTCAGCCAGAATTCAAGGATGGCCCAGGAGGAGAGAAAAGGAGGGTCAGAGAGACAGTGGGAGCCTTCAGCAAAGAAGAAAGGAGAAGATCCCTGAGGGGGAATTGATGAAGAAGGTAAAAGTGTGGAAGAAAGAGTGGGAGGGGGAGGGAGGAGGAGAAACTGAAGGAATGAAGGAGTGAGAGAAAGAAGGAAATACAGGAGTCTGAATACTTAAGTCTTCTGTGGAGAACCTGGGAAGACACATGGCTATTTCTCTGGGACACAGAGGTCTGCAGGAACCTGGGTGTTTGGGTGACAGGTGTGTACTCAAGGGCTTGAAGGCCCAGAAACACCCATGTCTCTTGCTCTCACTTCTCTCCCTCCTTCAGAGCTACCCTGCTTAATGGTGGGAGCTGGAAAGGTACTGCCCTCAGAGAGGAGACTGGGGGCAAATCCAGGGTGGAGAGAGTCAGCAAGGACCTGTCAGAACTGGAAAGGTGGGAAGAGAAGCGAGAGGAGGGAACATGTACTCCACACCTGTGTGCCAGTCAATGGATGGGCAATGTTGGAGGTATGAGCAGGCTGGGAGCTGGTGTCAATTTGGCCGCCACGAGCAAACTCAGGGCAATTCCTTTTTCTTCTTATATTAGGCACTTGTCCAAGGCCAGCGACCAAAGAAGAGGTCTTTGCCGCACCTGCCCAGGTGTTCCTCACTGGGAAGGTAAGGGCAAACCTGGGAATTGCATATTGAAACGAGAGTTAATTTCATGGATTTTAGAGTGGAAGGACTTTTAGATGCCTCTATCATCCTCACAGTACAGCAGAAGTAACAAAGGGGTTAAGTGGCTCAACCCAGGAGGTTAAGGCACTTGTGCAAGGCCACACAGCTAGTTGGTGGAAAAGCCAGAGTGTATCCTAACTTCTATTCCTGTGCTATGCTCAGTTTCTTAAATTAACAACTTGTAGTTCAGTCCCTAGTTCCTTATCCAGTGAAGGCAGGGTCTGCCTCCACCTACCACAGGCAGAAAGCATAAGGGGGCAGGGTTTACCCCTAAACCCAATATAGCTGTGGGACAAGGTCAAGGGGTTCTCACGTCCTCTTAGGTGAGCCAGGAATGACCTTTCAAATCCTGGAATCCCGTTTTTGTGCCTCAGTTTTCCCAGTCCTGGAAGCTGAGTAGATGGATGTGAGTAGAGGGGGGTGGAAAAATCAGACTGACTACTACCTAGGTGGAGGAATGGCCTCTTGTGTGCTGCAAAAAAAATGGAGGTATGAGAGCAAAGAAGAATGTTTCACAGTTGGCTGATCTAGGATGGGCCATGGGAGTCCCTTATCCACAAGGTCTTATCCACAAGGTCAGCTATGTGTCTGAGAAGAGAACTGATCTTTCTTCTTCTTGTGGCCTCCTGAACCCTAGAGGCCTGCGTCCTGGGGTGTCTGAGTCTTCACCTCTCTCCATGTCCTTCAGGACTTATCAGGCATGAGGGCTACATCCCTCCCGGAGGTAACAACCCTGGGGCACAAAAGCTGGAGAAAGGGGCGCCTAAAGAATGGGGTGTGTGAGGTGAGGTGCTTCTGGTTTTATTCCCTAGCCTGCCTCATTTAGCTTTGTTCCTCCTCTACGCAACCCACAGGGCAGCACCAGTGGCCTCAGGGGCAGGAGCAAGGTCACCACTCACCATCTCTATGCCAGTTTCTGCTTCCCAAGACCCAGAGGCAGGGCCTCTCACCTGTGGGAGAGAGGGTGAATGGGCCACCTGTTTTTTGTTGGGTTTTTTCTTTTTTTAAATATTTATTTATTTATTTATTTTGCCTGTGCCGGGTCTTAGTTGCGGCATGCGAACTCTTAGTTGCGGCATGCAGTATCTAGTTCCCTGACCAGGGATTGAGCCCAGGGATTGAGCATTGGGAACGTGGAGTCTTACCCGCTGGACCACCAGGGAAGTTCCCCACCTGCTGTTTTGAGGAGATTTGAAAGCCTCTCCAGAGAGAGCCTAGCTTCTATGTTTTGTGTGTGTGTGTGTGTGTGTGTGTGTGTTGGGGAGGCAGAGGGGCGGCATATGCTCCTTTAGACCAGGTGGTACAGGGTCTCATTCTAGTCAACAACTCCCAGACATGCTCTGTGGTGCTTAGTTTAGTGTCCTCCAAGGGACTTTCTGACCCCAGGATTCCAATATTCTGTGACAATACCTATGACTCATTCATCATTTACAGAGCAAACAAACTTCCACTGAGCAGCTGCTATAAACCAGGCATTGTGCTAAGGTGAAAGGGTTACAGGAATGAGTAGCTCCTTACCAGGAGTGGTGGTACATCATTTTACATTGTCTTCTGATGGAGGGAAGCGAGAAAGGACCCAACAGAAAACAGCTCCCAGGATGATAAATGGCTGTATTTACTGTTTCCAAGGGACTTTCAGTGAGACCTTGGTCTTTCAGCAGCTTCATGCAAACAATTCCCCAACCCTGGTCAGTCTGTTGCCCTTCTCTGCCCAGGGCACGGTAGAGAGAGTGCTGGAGGGCTTCCCAGAGCCAGGGCCCAATGAAAACTTGCAGACGGGGAAGAACTGGAGGTCTCTTTCCTCCTGGAAAGAAAAGTGAACAGGGCTTCCCTGGTGGCGCAGTGGTTGAGAGTGTGCCTGCCGATGCAGGGGACACGGGTTCGTGCCCCGGTCCGGGAAGATCCCACATGCCGTGGAGCAGCTGGGTCCGTGAGCCATGGCCTCTGAACCTGCGTGTCCGGAGCCTGTGCCTCGCAACGGGAGAGGCCGCAGCAGTGAGAGGCCCGCGTACCGCAAAAAAAAAAAAAAAAAAAAAAAGTGAACAGCTGTCTTCATTTGACAACCCAAGACCCTTTTCCTTGCCTCCGGGTTTCTGCTCCTCCCCACGCAGTCTCTGACCCCATAATTGATAGAATTTGTGGGAATATCTTCTGACAGTTTAGCAGGACTTGGGATCTAATAGTGTTCACTGACCTGCCACCATCTGAATCACTCTCCTCTAAAACGAACAAAATGTGTCACCACGCCTGTGTATGTTCAATAAGAACATTTTCTCTCCTGACACACTTCAGAAACAAGGTTTCCCATCCCTCCCAGGAGCCTGTGTTCCTGTGGTTCTCCCTCCTCCCTCTCTCCAAAACTCAGAACCCGCAGAATCTCTCCCAGTGGCCAAGCGGAGGCAGAGGGGATTGGTAGCGTCTGAGGTCAGGGACGCGGGACGCGGCCCCCAGTGTCGAGGCGATTGCTCTAAGAACGTTCGGGGTGCAGTCGTCCTCCGTCCCCCACGTCCCTACCAGGGCACCTCTGGAATCTTGTAACCGCGGGAGGTGGGCGCATCCCCTAATTCCATTTGTGATCTCCGCCTGCCAGAGTGACCTCCACCCCAGGTGCGCGGAGACCGAGCCCACAAAGCCTCCGGTGGCTGGGTGGAACCAGGAGGCACCGGGAAGCTACGCGCACGCCCCGGGTCCGTGGAGCAGATGCCCACTCCACCTCGGCGTTGGCTGCAGGGGCGCCACACGCCACACGCCAGGAGCGCGCCTGCGAGCTGAGGGCCCTACTCCCAACTGTGGGAAGCCGCTAGGACGCGCGCCCGGCAGGGGTCCCCACACCTAGAGCCGCGAGCGCGCGCACGTGCAGGCTGCGGGGTCGGCCCCGCGTGGCACTCGGGCCCGGACTCCAAGGTCGCTGGGACTCCAGTGGGCGAACGGAGGCCGAGGCTGTTGGGTGGTCGGGGCCGGTCGGGTGAGGGGATAGCTCCCATCTGCCACAGCTGCTTTTCTCGCGGTCTCGGGTCGAACCCATAAGACGGACAGTTTGGGCTTCTACTGCAAGCAGCGTCCGCACCGCCGGGTCTCCTTCCCGCTTGCGCTGCGGTCTGGGGACACGATGGAGGGGAGAGGTGGCATCAGAAGCCCCAGAAAGCAGGGGCTTGGGAAGGACGTCGGCTTGCCCCGCCCCCCTTCCCTCCACTACGTTTATTGGGCGTTAACTAAGTGCTAGGCGGAGGACACTAGTAGCTTCCAGGATGGTGGTGGTGGGTAGGCTCACAAATAACAACAGTACAGCGTGGTGGGTGCCGCCCTAGGGGAAGCCTAGGTGCTCCCAAACCCGAGTGGGAAGGGGCAATCGGGGAAGGCTTCCTGGAGGAGGTGGCCTTTGAGCGCTGAAGGGTGAAGAGGAGTTCTCCAGGGAAAAATCGGTGGAGATAGACCAGTGCATTCCAGGAGAGGTGAATGTGTTTATGGCTGAGCAAGATGTGGTCTCCACATGAACTTAGTGAAGCAGGGTCATCAACAGCTAAAAGAGAGAGAGAGAGAAAAAAAGTGATATTCTGAAGACGGTTATCAAGGTAGTCATCATGAAACAGATCAGAACTTGGTTGGACTTCTTTACACTTATTTTCCGGTTTGGTACTGTTTTTAATGTTTTAATTACTCTCCGTGGTGAGACAATCTTTCTGAGCCCGCTGGGGCAGTGGCGAGGTGGAGGCCTTCAGAGCCACTGAGGGCTGGGAGTGGGAGGATGCTTTCAGACTGACCATCAGTAAAGAGGGAGTGTGTTGGGGGCTGGAGAGAATAGCAGCAGCAAGTTTGGACCAAAAGGCAGCTGTCTTTCTCTGGACGGTTCTCCAGGCCAGCCCCAGCACCCACTGGAACCTCTGTGTGGAGACTGAGTTTCTTGACCCCCAAGGTGGAGGCTGCCGGGAGTCTCTGGGCCAAGTCATGCCCTCTGTCAGCACTCAGGCTGTTCTCCTGTGACTTCCCACCCCTATTTCACCACACTGGCCCTTGCATCCCAACCCCTGCCACTCTGCCCCAACAGTCTCTCCTGCGAGGCCTAGTGGCCTCTACTCTCACTGACAACAGCATTTATCGAACCGTTATCGAGGAAAGGAACACTTTAACAGGCTCCTGACAGATCTTATAGTAAAGATGGGGAACTTGGGCTCAGAAGAGTTAACCAGCTCAGCCCTAGGTAGTTAAGTGGTGGAGCTGGGATATGAACCCTGCACTGAGCCCGCTTGCCTTGTGGCTTTTAGGTCCTCCCTCCGGTCCAGGGCACAGTCTGGAAGCCCTAGACGTGCCTGTGCTCCACTGGCTAAGCCCCTATTCAGGGCCAAGAAACTCTGGCACTGAGGCTGGCCTGGGGAAACTTATACAGAAGGCAGTCTGCCCCTCTGCCCCCCACCCCACCGCCTTAGTGCTGCTGTTCCCTCCAAGCCTCTGACACTCTCCTCCCCAAGGCAGTTCAGCTGCCCCTTTGGTCAGGGAAGTCACACACAAAAAATCTGAGCTGGAGGTCCATGGCTTCCCCATTCCTGGACACCACTACCCAGGACACCCAAGAAAAGTCAGCTCCTTCGCTCCCTCAACTCCAGAAAAAGTCGATGGACCCTGCACCCCTCTCACCTTTGCATCCCTCCACCTGAGGCAGTCACAGCAAGTGGCTGCCTCACAGCAGGGAACCCTGGGAGATAACTGGACTAGGCTGTCCTCTGCTCAGAATCTCTGCTCTCTAGGCTCCCAGGGAGCCCACTGCTTCCAAAAATCAGGCAGCTGGGGACTTCCCTGGTGGTGCAGTGGTTAAGAATCTGCCTGCCAATG